CATAGTGATCCTATAGGACAGAGTAGAACTGCCTCATTGGTTTCCTAGGCCATAATCTTTACTGGAGCAGATCACAAGGTCTTGTCTCCCACAGAGCTGCTGGTGGGTCCAAACTGTCGACCTTTCAGTTAGTTGTCAAGTGCTTAACCAGTGTGCGACCAGGGATCCTTCTTCATACTATAACCTGTTGCCGTCAAGTTGATTCCAACTCATATCGACCCGATAGGACAGAGTAGAACTGCCCTATAGGGTTTCCAAGGCATGGCTGGTGGATTCGAACTGCCGACCTTTCGGTTAGCAGCCGAGCTCTTACCCACTATGCCACATCATACTATAGGGAGAAGTAAATATGGGAGTGGAGTGGAGGTGTATGTTTCCTCCCCAGTACTTTTGAAAGGGCTGAACTGTTGCACAAATTTCCCTCTCATATGAGCAGAAGCAAGAATGTGGAGTGACGACAGAAAGGTCCCTCCTGCATAAGTCTGTGAAGCCCATGTGCAGACTCAAGCTGATGACTTAAGATCCAAGTGGGAAGAATTTGAATGGAGCTGAAAATCCTCAGAAGCAGATGGGGTAGAGCGAAAGAAATAATGATTTGTGTCAAAACAGCATGAGGGCAGTGTCTGATCTCTTACTTCACAATGGGGAAAGAGAATCAAGATCAACGGCCCAAGGCTGATTCCTATGAGGTGGAGGTCAGATGTGCTACCTCTCTCCACCATCTTTACTGATTGACACCAACAGTCCCTTCCACAGCACTCTCTACTTCTCTGCTGGGTTCGATAATTCATTGCAATGGCCACACAAAACTCACAGACAATACTCACTATTATGGGGTTTCTTAGGGAAGTAACAGGTTACAATTCAGGTTCAGGAATGCTCAGGATACGGTTCTTCCATCAGGATAGCCTCTTCCCAGACGTGCTTGCAGGCATGCCTCTCCCTGGCCTTCTGCCTCTGCCTCTGCCCAAAGGCACTCAGCTTTCTTGCTCCATGGGCGAGGAAGCCCACTGAAGTTTCTCCTGCCAGTCTCTCCTGCCACCACTTCTCTGCCACCACTTCTTGCCATCTTCAGGGTTACAGCTCACTCTCTGTCTCCTGGTTCCTTGAGCTTCTCAGCACAGGGATCCCAGGTCCAAAGGACATGCTGTCTTCTCCTGCTGTTCTTCCTTGGTGGTGGTAGGATCCTCTCTTTCCTCCCTCTTGAGTCGCTCATTTCAAGCCCAGTGGGATGGCAAAACTGACCAGTCCCTTTGGTGGGCTACAGTTACCCTATCTGCACAGTCCTGTCCAATCACCTGGGTGAGAGTTACAAGACCATGGTGAGAAAGGCCACACAAAAGCGAACCATCATGCCACAATTTGTGACTCGCATTATGACCCTTTTTCTACACACAGATGTACAGATAGCTTGGAAATCCTAATCCACGTTTTGGAGGCCCTACTGAATGATTCTAATTTTGTACATTCTCATGTTCCTTTGGTTGGAGGAGGGGGGCTGGCTTTTCCACTTCTCAGATCCAGGTATGACTCCTTACCTTGGCAGCCCAATGTTTCCTAGCTGAGGCCATGGGTTATAGATTGCCATTTCACGAGCTGTGCAGTGCCTTGATACCAACCAGGGGAGAGCTGGGGAGACTACTTTGCCTGGTTAGAGCCTTAGGGTGGACCATTGGGCCCGAATAGATCAGGCAGAGAGAGGCCTACCCAATTCTGTTGAGAAGGATCAGGACAGTGCCCTGGAAACTTGTCTGGAAGTCTATATTTATGTACGGGGACTTGTTTCCAAACCTGGAAAGGAAATCCATGGAAGATAGCCCTCCCCACTCCCCACAGACCTAGGAAAAAATCTCCTTGGAACAGGAGTGAAATGATGGCCAGGCGATTGGCCAGGCAATGAAGCCCATGATAGGAGCCACATTATAGAAATATTGCAGAAATGGCCAATTTTTTTTGAGACAGAGGTAAAAACCAATAAGATAGTGATAGGCTTAGAGGCTTACCTTTGTCAGTGGGGAAGCAACCTTGAAGATCCTATTAAGTATTTGAGTATGTGGAGAGTTACAGTTTAAATTTACTGCTAAATTTAAATTAGCATGTTGAATTTCTAAACACCCCAAAAGGCAGGAAAATAAAACCTTAGCATGTGCATTGATAATGAAAAAGTTGTTGCAGAGGGCACAGGAGAGAAGGACTATGATGGGAAAGAGCAAAATAATATGATAATATGATGTTGCTGTTGTTAGGTGCCATCCAGTCAGTTTCTACTCATAGTGACCCTATGTACAAACACTGCTGGGTCCTGCGGCATCCTCACAATCCTCTTTATGCTTGAGCCCATTGTTGCAGCCACTGTGTCAATCCATCTTGTTGAGGGTCTTCCTCTTTTTTGTTGACCCTCTGCTTTATCAAGCATAATGTCCTTCTCCAAGGACTGACCCCTTCTAATAACATGTCCAAAGTATGTGAGACGTAGTCTGTACTTTTTCCAAGACGGATTTGTTCAATCTTTTGGCAATCTATGATATATTCAGTATTCTTTGCCAACTTCATAATTCAAAGGTATCATCCTTATTCATTGTCCAGCTTTCACATGCATATGAAGTGATTGAAAACATCATGGCTAATATAGTATGATAGGTATAGGAAAATTAGAGATGTGAGCGTTTGAGTTTTATTTGTTGGTTGGTTTTGCTTTGTTTTTAAATTAAAGAGCTTTAAGAGGTTGCAGCTGCAGATAAGGGAGAAGATGAGCCATAGAATAAGGTGCCCAAAGGCAGGGGAGGATTATTCAATAGGCATGGTGCTTACCAGATCATTTGTAGTGAACAATTTCATGTGGGTTTTACCACATCTTTGATTAGTAAGTAAGCACAAGTAGACCTGTACTTACCTAGTTTACTGGGTCATCTGCCCCTGTCAGGGATTGTAAATTTGAAAAGAGGCTTTGATTCTGTAGGAAGATGCTGTGGGGTTGGGAGAGAGATGGATGCCAGTCATACCTAGAAGCAGAATGTTTGACATGGTGAAAAAATGTGAAATTATTCATTACAGACGATCTAGTAAACAAGGTAAGCACCGTGCTTACCTTGCTTATTGGATAATCTGCTCCTGCTCAGGAGTGGGAGAGGACAAGATCCCAAATAGATATGGAAAGATTTGTGTTGGAGAGAAGATACACCTCTTCCACTGATACGTGAGCTTTCAGGCAAGAATAGAAGCAAACGCAAGTTGGTTTTGGACCACGGTGGGGAAAACTGGGGGAGAACCATCTTCTTGCCATTATTTTCTCTGTGAAAAGTGAGGCAAGGTCATTGCTTACAGTGAATAGAAGTAAAGCTGTGGGGCCTGAGAAGAGTGGTAAAAGTTTAAAATGGCCATTGGGGAAAGCAGGTGAGGGACCTGGGAAAATGGGCCAGCCAAGGGAAGGGTGTGAGGGAAAGGTCACAGCGTTGTATTGATGAAAGATGGTGGAGCTGATGGTGTGAGCTCAAAGGAGGTAGACAAGGATTGGAGTTTAACAGGTGATTGGACTGGATGGTTACATCCTATGTGGGATGAAGTTTGGGGTCCGAGCAACCATCCCTTTGGGCCCCAGATTTCCCCAGTGTGATGGTTAAGATTATGTGTCAACTTGGCTGGGCCATGATTCTCCGTGTTTTAATGTAATCACTCCCATGATTGAATATACTGTGAGAAGCCAATCAGATGAAAGAGAGTCTCCCTGGGGGTGTGGCCCGCATCTGTATATAGGTGGACGTTCTGGTTTTTTGCTGTCTCTGGATCCTGCGGCTGCTTCCTGTCATCTCATCTCCCGTTCTTGGGACTTGAGCTGTCAGCTTATCTGCCGAAACTGGGATTCATTGATCTGCACAGCATGTGAGTGGGAGCCCTGCTCTCCGACTTTCCGATCTTGGGCTTGCCAGCTTCTGCAGCTGTGTGACTTGGGAGAGGCTTCTACGCTGATCCACGGACTTGGGACGTTCTAGCCTCTACAATCACGTGAGCTGTTTCCTTGATATAATCTCTCTATAACATATTTATACACCTTACTGCTTTTGCTTCTCTAGAGAACCCAGCCTAAGACACCCAGCTTTCTTTGCTCCCTAATCAGAACCTGTTTAGGTTTGCTCCTACCTGGGAGACTTACGATGGTGACAAAATTCAGGCTGGCACATGCCAGAGGAGAGCTGGAACCACTAATACCATTGCAACCTGGAGGGCAGAGTGTCTGGAAACACTGAGTGGTGTCTCATAGAAAGCCAGAGAAGGAGGGTGTGGGGGTATTAGTCCAACTCTTTATTTCATAGCTGAGAAACTGAGGCCCAGAAAGGTAAAGTGATTTGTCCATAGACACTCAGTGGCAGAGGAGGGATTCTTAGCAGATCTTCCATTCTGGATCCAGGATTATTTCCATGACTCCCAGGTGGGGAGATGGGGAGGGAGAAGACTGAATGAACCTCCTCTTAGAGTCATTGACCTTCTGAGGGATGGGCTCTTTGCCGTGCTCCTGGGCATTTAATTGTCCATCTCCCTAGTTCCTCAGACAAAGACTTTCTCTTTCCCTGCATCTCAGGATGCTCAATGCTGGTGACAAACATGGAAGAAGGAGTTCCTGAGGATGGGAGCAGTGGTGAGGAGATGGGCCACTGGCTCAGAGATGGCGCATGCAAGTCTGCTCATAATTTGCCAGCCATACAAAACAATTCTGGGTTGGGAGTTTCCAAACAAGTTTATTGCCATTAAAAAGGGATCAAACACAGATTTAGACATAGTAACTGCTCGGTAGCAACTAGATTCTATCACCTGTCATACACTAGATCTGTCTTAGAATTCTACTTGCCAGATGTGTCTTAGAATTCTATTCACTAACTAGACCCTGATGCCTATGATATCTCCTGGGCCTGGCCTTCATTATCTTATCCAATCACTATCTAATTCCCAAGCTTAAATGAGGTATTTATACCCAGAACTACAGCCTCTAGTCCTGGTAGTGCACATCAGAGCCTCAAGGAGAAACAGGCCACCACGATGTTCTCCCCAACGATGTTACTGGATCTGGAGAGCACAGGAAGGACACAATCCACATACAGTCCTCTGGCTTCCCTGCCCTGGATGGAAAGAGAACAGGACTGAGGTCTCAGCCATGCTCTGATGAACTCTGACCGCTGGCCCTGCTGCTCTGGACAGAGGGACCAGCATACCCTCCACCACTGGATCCCACCACTCCCATAAATTGGGCTCCATGGAGGGATATGGTAGGGCTACTCCTGCCCTCCAGAACCCAGCTCAGTGAGAGTAAGGGCTATTAAGCAGGATACAATCAGAGAGTCCTATCTCCTCTTGAGAAGACCACCTACTGCTGCCATCCATAGAGATTTTTAAAATAATTTTTCAGGGCTATATTATCTTAAACCTGAAAAAATTCAGACGGTCAGTGCTAGATGGATTGTGAAGGGGCAAGAGAAAGGCTACCAATGCAGACCTATGCCTTTGTGGGAAGATGACCCTGCCCAGTGCTGGGGTGGAGGTTCTGCTGGGCTGCTTCCAAAGGATGAAGCCTTGATTCTGCTGCAGAGAAGTGAGAGACCACAGGGACTCAGGGGCTAAAGGCTAGGGCCTCAGTGATGGGCCTGACCATGCAAGTCTCAAGGGGCCTGGCCAGTCTGGGGTAAGCACAAGTGTGGTTGGTGGGAAGCAGCTGGAAGCTGTTGAATCCTCACCACTTGGCTGAAGTCCATCTTGATGAGTGCTGGTGACAGACAGTTCACCCAGATGCCCTTTGGTGCCAGCTCTACAGCCAAGGACTTGATGAGTCCCAGCAGGAGAGTTTTGCTGGTATTGTAGATCCCCAGCATCTAAGAAGGAAAATAAAATGGAAAAAAAGACACTGGAGTTGAGAAGGAGGCCTCTTGCTGGAACCCCTAGGCCTATGGAGAATGAATATGCTTGCTCTTAGGCCCAAACTCAGACATTTCTTCCATTCCACCCCTGGAGATTACCAAGGAGCAAAATCTGAGCAGGAGTAGAATGAAGCCTGGGCTTAAAGAAAAGTCAGGGAGCCAGAGGCTATGTTTGTCTTGCCTGGCCCAGAAAAAAGTGCTTAGGGTGCAAGGTCAGGAAATGGCCTAAAGAGATTCAAGGCCAGACCCTGCTAAACCATGAACTAGCTGGCCTTGGGCAAGTCCCTTAAAACTTCCTCATAGTCCAGGAGTGTCATACAGACACTGATGGCCTGCACTGCCCCCTGGTGCAAACTTTAAAAGAACTCCCCTCTGAGCTGATATAGCCTCACTGGTACGTGGCTTGTTGAGTGGATGGAGCCTTAGTGACAATTGTAAAAGCCACCCACTTCCTTCAGGCAAATGTAGCCCAATGCCAGGGTGCATAGCATGGCAAACAGAGCACAGACTGGATTTCAGCTCCCACCTGTCCCTGGACTGAGTGCCCTTGTGCAGTGAACAACCTATACAAGCATACATGGCACACCTGGGGACATGGGGACTAAATGAGCTAATGACAACGAGTGTGATTTTAAATGTGGGCAGTACAGGTAGACAGGCATACAACACTGTGCACTTTAATTTTATTATCATACAATATCAATATTCTCTTCCACCACACCCTAGAATCCTCTCCACCACTCCATCCCAAAACACCCACTCACTGTTTGAGGTACATAGACAGCAGTAGGGCAATCAACATCACTGAGCCTCCCCTATGAGGAGACAGACAAACATGACAAGATAGAAAGTGAGCTCAACTGAGAAGCCAGAAATGCTTCCAGGAAATGCTTCCCAGTGATGAGGAGACAGAACTGAGGTGTAAGGAGAAGAAGGGAAAATGTTGAGATGCCAGAATCTTTTGGGGAAGAGTGAGTTCTTTGAAGAAGTGTGTTAGTCTGGATTCTCTAAAGGAGCAAAATTAGTGAAGTGTATATAGACATATATATAGAGAGAAATTTACTTAAGGAAATGGCTCACGCAATTGTGGGGGTTGTCAAGTCCCAAATCCGTGGGTCAGGCAACAAACTGAAGGCTTCTGCTGGCTCACGTGGTTGCAGGGGCCGACAAAACCAAAATCTATAGGTCAGGCGGCAGGCTGGAGGCCACTGCTGGCTCACGGGGTTGCCAGGTTGATGAATTCAAAATCTGCAGGTCAGAGTCTCCTGCAGGCTTACGTCCCAAGAACCAGAGGTCAAGCAACAAAGAGTGCAAGGTCAAGAGAGAGGGCGAGCTTTGCCAGAACATCCATTTATATACTGGAGGCATGCCACATCTCTAAGGAAACTCCCCTCTCGACTGATTGGCTGCTCACATCAGATCACAAAATAGAAAGTAATTACATAGTGTCCGCCAAACCACCGAGAATCATAGCCTTAACATTAACATCACAGGAAATTAGAACTGGGAGTGTCCTGACTCAGTCTCCCCTGCTGAAAATCCCCAGGACTCCCTGGCACCAGGCACAGGGCAGGGCCAATCCATGTCTGGATCCCTGGAGAACAAGACCTGTAGCACAGAGTCATTAGTGTGAGGTTGAAGCAGTGATTGCTTGTCCCAGGGACAGCCACTTCCATAGGACAGAAAATGCATTTAGAGTAGTCTGGGTTACAAATCTAACTCTAGAGCAGGAGTCATACCTGCTGACTGTGACAAGAAGAGATAAGGAGCAAAAGGTGGGGAAAAGGTTGGCCACAAAAACCCCAGACAGAGGCAGGGGAAGGGACTGAGGGAGCTTCCTTTGGCCTCTTTGGTAGGATTCGGGACTCTGGCTCACACCACGGGGCGCTGCCCATTGCAGCTATCGCTGTCCTGCCATTCTTAGAAGACAAGTCAAGTCAGAGGTGACTGAGGCTCCTCTGTGGGTTTGGAGTTTGCAGGCCACATTCCCTCCAAATGTTCCCTTTCACTGTGTTGCTCACATCCCCTAGGGACCAAGTAGCCTGAGGATGTGGTTCGGGAGGTAAGAAGAGACGCTCCTTCTACCTGCTCTCCTTGGATATTCCACTTCCTGGGCCGCTCCCCCAAGTATTTCCTTGGAGCAGAGGAGACCAAGGCCGAGTCAACCCAACGCCCCCTAGGCCTCCCCACCCTCACCCCCTCTTCTCCACTTGGGGCATAGCTGGCTCAGCAGCAGAGCCGGGACCTTCACATTCATGTCCAGGATCTGAAATCAGAGCCAGGAGGGGAAGAGGCGCTATAAGGTCAGCCTGGCACTTCTGCTCACCTGGAGTCCTGGAGACCAGAGTGACTGTGGGGAGGAGCTGTAGGTGTCCCCCTTCACCCCTCGGGAAAGCAGGTCAGTGAGCATAATCTTAGGGAAAGGACGTTAGAAGAGCTGGTTTACACGTGTCTTTTTTAATGAGTAGAGATGAGAATTCACATTGCCTAAACCGCAGCTCTGGTGTTAGGCACTGTCCAGGAGTAGATGCTGACATTTGAGTTTCCTACAAATGCTAGAGGCTGGCCTGGAGGGTGGGTTGGAGGGGGTGAGAGGGGATGGGAAGGACATGAAATGTCAGAACTAAGAAAAGGAAGTGAGCAGGGTCTGCCAAGAGAGCAAGGGGTGGTGAAGACCCACGAGGAAAGAATGGCTCACCCTGAGCCAGTGGGGCCTATTCACTGCCAACAGGGTCAAGAGGGGGACCAGGACTGTGCTGACCCCTCTCAGGGAGCCCATCAGGACAGTAAGGGCAGGGGGTCAGCAGAGGCAGTAGTGCCCCTGGAATGCTCAATATAGTCAGGCCAGGATAGTGAGTCTGGCTAGGATCTCTTTTTTTAGCTGTGTCTCTGGTCAGGTGAGGCATCCTGTGACAGCCCAGGGGGGTTCCCTGGAACAGCCACGCAGGGACACTCAGTGAGCACCAGAGTAGATGCCAGTGAGCCCAGACTGCCACGCCTTAGAGACCTGAGCCAAGAGAGAGGATCTGGACCAGAGCCTGGCATGTGTCCTCATAGCTGGGGCTTGGAATAAGGCTGAGGTCAAGAAGGTTCGCTGGGGCCCAGCCCAGGGCAAGGCAATGTCAGTGTCATTGGGCACCTGGGCAGACTGACCAGTGGTACCACAGGCATGTGGCTCAAAGTTCATAGTGTGGAAGCTGAGCAGAGTGAACATGAGTGTGAACAAAGGTGAAAGACAGAGAGAGCCTCACAGCTCTATGTTCCCTGGGGCCTCACCTTGTCCCACACCTGGTCACTGGCTCCCAGCGTGCTCCCTACCAGGATGGTGACCTCCACGTTGCACGCCAGGAAGTCCACACCCCCACTGTACCGAGGGTCTTTGGAAACAGAGGCAGAACAGAGGGTGAGGAAGAGATGAGACTGGAACCAGAAGCCTCCTCCCTCCCTCCACAGTCATCTGGGAGGGCTTGGACCCCAGGTGGGCACATTGTAAATGTCCAAAAATATGTTAAGGAAAAGATCATTTTGACTTACAGCCCCTCCTCCCCTAGGCTGAATCTACGTGCTCTCATCTCTGCCATCTCCCCAGCTCCTTACTGCCACTTCCACCCCTGTGGCTGCTCACTGTGGCCACCAGCCGCTGTCAGTCCTTAGCCTCCCCCACACGTGGCACATGATGCCCATCACACTCAGCCCCTCACCCCGCATCTCCACCACTGCCCAGTCCTAGTTTTGCTGCTTCCAGCCTCTGGTAACCATGTGGGCGCGGTCCTAGGCCAGACACCTGGTGGTGGCCAAGCCAAGCCAAACCTGCCGGCGGAGATGAACTTGCCGGTTTCAGCCCTCCCACCCTCCTCCTGGGAGCCTGACTGTGAGACACAAATTGAATTTCCCAATGTTTCCAAACAGCTGCCTCCAAATCTTCCAACCGGGGAAGAATTGACACTTATTGAGCACTTAATATGCACCAGGCCTTCATATTACCTATCACCCACTCTATCATACAGGTATTATGATCCAGTTATTATCATAATCTGTAGAAGTGGTTACATAAATTCACAAACTGCCCAGGTAAAGAAGTGTGGAGCCTGGATTCAAACCTAAGTCTGAGTCCAAAGCACCTACTCTTTCCACCATCTCACTCCTGGGAGTTTAGTGACGGAAGCGCATCCTCGGAAAGATGATAATTTCCAGAGCTGGGTAATGGGGTGGAGGTGTTGGGCATGGATGTATGAGAAGGACATTGACTGCAGAGCCTGCTCTGGGATGTGGACACTAACCTCCCCTGGGCACGTGCCAGCCAGGGACTCTCATTCACTCACCTCTCTGTGGACCCAGTGATCACAGCCATTTTGTCCACCAGGGCACGGCTCCTGTCTGCCTCACTGCTGCACACTTTGACTGAGAGACAGACTGAGGATCGAAGAAGACTCCCAAAGGTCCACAATGCAGCCCCAAGCATGGTGGCCAGTGGTCAGGTCTCCCTCTTGCTGGATCCAATCCTGCAAAGACAATTAACATCACAGAAGATTTGTCTCTGGGGGTCCTCCAAGGTGGTGACTCTCTGACATCTCCGGTGGGTGTCCTAACATCAATTCCCCCTCACAGAATGTATACAGAGGCGTTCTCAGCCCATTCCCCAGGCCAGCTTCCCCATCACAGTAGGCTGTTCCATCATGGCCAGGTGTGGTTTTGGGCACATGGCACATATCTAAGTGGTTCTTTCTTGACTGGCCACCAAAATCCCACGCGAAGAGCATAAGTCACTGCCTTCTTACACTCATTCACTCCTTCCCTCCCTCATCCATTTCCTAATCACGTCACTTGTTTCTACTTTAATATCTCTAGTTTCTGTCCTACTCTTTATATTTCACGCCCACCACCCTGGTTTCAGTCCTCATTATCTCCCCAGTTTATTGCAATCTCCTTTTCCACCAGCTCCCTACCTCTCCATAGCAATAGCTACCTCACTGCAGACTCCAACAGTGGGGAGAATTTTTTGAAAACTGGGCTGTTCTTAGATTTTCTGAAAGAGTACTATGGTCCAATTTCATTTTAGAAAACTCCAGTCAAAATTCCTAGACACAGGATCAGTAGAACTCTAGAAGGGCTTGCTTAAGGGCTAAGGGCTAAGGCCAGGCCCTGTCTTCCTCCCTGGGTGCCCTGGCCCAGCCTGACCCTGTGGTCTGGAGGTTTGGCCTTTAATCCTCAGGGATTTAAAGAAGAAGGAAAATTAGCATTCTCTCTAATAAGGACCTGGTACACAAAGTTTAACCAGGCCCAGTCCTTGGAAACACATGAACACATACACATGTGTACAAACATGCACGTGCACACACACACGCACACACACACTGCAGTCTGGGCCGTGAGTTCCTTCCTAGACACACTCTGGTCATTTCTGGTGGTGACCAGTGCAGTGGCATCACTGGGAAGTGCAGGAGGTGTGGACTGCACCAGGTGACATTGTCAGAGGGGGTGACACCAAAATGACTGTCTATAAAATATCTCTGTAGTTAGCTATAACAACAAAAACAATTTTTGTAAGCCCAGCTTACATGTATCAATATACCTACAAGGCTAAAACCCTATGCTAATTTACTTTTTGCACCTTTTAATATGCTCTGGTCAGAGCTGTCATTATTACCCAATTACAATGATGCTTTGAATCCCACAAACACGTGCTGTGGTTTTCATTGCTGCCAGTGTTTTTACAGTCACTAATTTTGTCAAATTTTCTGGTGTTTCAGCTACAATATTGTGGTAATTAGTGTTTGTGAACCTATATCAATAACTTTTTTGAGAATGAAGTAGTAATTAAAGGAAAAGAAGGAGTGATATCCCAGAATTATGATTTGTGAGTAATATCAGTACAAAAAACATTACTAAGGATTCTGTATGGTCTGGTACGGGTGGAGGTCCATGAGGGAGTGACACCATGAGTTACCACACTGGGTGATACCAACCCTAGTGACACCACTGGACCAGTGCAAGTCACTCACCATCTTGACGTTTGCAGGGGGCAGGGAGTGAACTAGGCAGAGGAAGCAACCTCTCTGATCCTGACCATGAGGGGACATTCCCATCCAGTTTTCCTAGAACATAAGATGCCTTTCTGCAGAGGACAGAGCCTTGTCTGCGGGATGGGTCCTAACTGCCTGTCATGGATTGAATTGTGTCCCCCAAAAAATGTGTGTAGCAACTTGGCTAGGTCATGATTCCTAGTATTGTATGATTGTGTTATCTGATGTGATTTCCTTATGTGTTGTAAACTCTACCACTATGATGAGATTATATGTGATCTCCTCATGTGTTGTAAATT